GTATGTCCATTTGCACTGGCCAGATAATTGGTATAAAACAGATGTCAGGACCTGATATTAGAGCGCCAAGAGTATAGGGTTCGTTGTTGATATACAACTGATTATTTCTGATGGTGGCCTTGATTCAGATCATCACCAATGTATATATTTTCGCCATCGAGTTTGTGTAAATTTTTTATTATTTCGACTTTCCTTATATACGATAGAAGTTTTAGTTTCAAAGCGTTTTCTTTATTTTTAGTCGAAAAAAAGTAGGCGTTATTGAGAGCAGCTATTCTTATATCAACGTCTAACTTGTTATTGAGATATGTCAGTGCCCCAGATATATCTGAGGTTTCGATGCTAAATACAATATTATTTTTTCTGTGTCTTCTGTCCCAAGTTTGGATTTGCCCCGCCAGTTTGGTATTTTCAGCTTCTAGAGTAGAAATTTGGTGATTAACCACCTGCAGTTCCTCTTTTATTTCCTTTAGAGTTTCAATAGTAGTGTCTGTTTTTTTAAAGGTTAATTAGAACTTCATAAACTTCAGTAAGGGATATTTCTATGTTTATTGCAAAAGCATTAGATTGTGACATGTTTACACTAATTTTTCGGTTGCAGCACCTCTGCTATTTAGTTCGTTTCTATAATATCGTTTTGATACTATTTCAGAGGTACTTTCGGTTTATAGTCTCCTCTGTTCTGGTCACGAAAACTTCCTCTCTTCGTTTTAATCTCAACTCTCCAAATAGCCACTTCCAATCTATCAAAGCGTAGGACATGAGAGATAGGCAACACAAATGACAGTGATAGTAAAGTCAATCTTATCTCCAGGAAATCTGAAAAATGAACAATGGCAAAATTATTCTCAATACGACGGAAACAACTACACCTGTTTGACAGCTAATAAATACACCAATCCAAGGAATATTGTTCTCATGTTTGGAGCTTTACCCCCAAACATACACTGAAGTTGCTGTGTTCCATTCATAAAAGAGCCATCCGCTTGATTAGAGACGCGAACATCACGAGCAACCTTGATAGCCTGGAACATCAAAGAAAGATTGGAGATTTGTCTCTGTTTTATAGATACTTTCACAGAAAGTGTCCGAGTGACTTGTCACATTTGATTCCTGCAAGAGTGGTACATATCAGAAATACGCGACGGACTGTGGCTGCTCATCATTTCTAGGTTCGACTCAGTACACCTCGGACTTCCCTCTTTGAGAACTTTTTTATCTGGAAAACTGTGTTTATGTGGAATAAACTTCCTGAGAATGTTTTTCCAAATATATTTAATCTCCAGCGATTCAAATACAATGTGGATCGCTACTTTCACAAAGGCACCGCTCTGAGAGCGCCTTAAGGATTTTCCTGTAGCGCTTGTACTTTGTCTTTAAAAAAATACTCTATACACTGGAAATTTTCGGTATCAGAGGAACTTTCGGTCCAGAACTTATTGAAAAAAATATATTCCTTCTTTTTATACAGCTATATCAGTTGGTTACCTTTCCAAATATTCTGTTCATAGGTGAAATAGAACTTTTTTCAAAAGTTTTATTTTCCTGAAAAATTTTACGAATGGAAAAGTTCGGGCAAAGACCGAGTCGAAGTTTCAAAATGATTCCTTTCCAGCCAACATATTCTGAAACACACCATGTTCTGAATATACTTATCATTCAGCAATAAAAATTCAAAATACTTTCAATAATCGCTCCCCACTTTCGTAAGCTCATAATAACCGCTCCCCACTTTCGTGAGCTCATTATCGTATATAAAGAATAATTTGTACTTCAATCATTACTGAAAGTATTCACAACGTACTACAATGAATATATATTTTATTTGCCTTTTATTAGCTAATTGTTTGGAATTATATGAATGCTCCCAGTTTGACGAATTCGTCGACAATGTGAGTGATTATATAAACTATAGTACAAACTATATCCCACGAAAAAGTAATAAGGACTTACTGGACACTTGTAATTCTTCTCTTCACTGTGAGTATTGAGGATTTTAACGACATATCAGTTTTTATGAATGGAAAATAGTTATGAAAGAAAATAAATGAAGTTGTTATAGAAGTTCAACTTCAATTCAAGTATTAATATTTTATTATCTTTATCATTTTTTTAAATCTAAATTTAATACAGTGGAAGTTTATTATGAATGAATTATATGTGTTGTTGTTTTTTCCGTTAACCAGCTATCGCACCCCTACAAACGACAACCCTCAGAAGTCGAAACTTGTACGAGCTAAGGACCAACGAGGTTTTACCTTTTAACGTGTGATGTCCTAACAGTTTGAACTATAGTTTGAGTATATCATAATTTTTTGATATAATCAGAACACTCAGATATATCAGAATGAAATAAATTAAATCATATCACATATACATAACACAAGACATAAAACAATCTATAAAATACCAAAACCAGAAAAATCTATTGCATATGCCATACTTACCTAGAACCTAAATTATATAACAAATTGGACATTGAGATGAAAGAGAAATGTTTAAAAGTCATACAAAAAAATGGATACTCAGTATACCACGAGAAAACTCACACCGATTCATCGATACAAAAAAATAATTACTACATCGCAAAACTATGATGGGAAATGCTGCGAAGAAAAATGAAATAAAAATGAAAAAAATATGTTTTTCTTAGAAGCTACCTTGAATTGTTTGAATCAACTCCAGTTGTAGACCTTCTGCATTCTTTCGTTTCTTTTCTCTTGAACACGATACAAGTTATTTTTTTTTAAAGAAAAGTGAGTTGTACTCGTACACTGGAGCTTAGAAATGATGAATCAGAAAGTTATATGTTGGCTATGCAACGATCTATTTTTTATATATTCTTCAGATATTTATTCCAAAGAAGTGTTTTTCCGCAATTACTCCTCCTCTTTAACAAGGAAGAAAATTGGTTTATTATCTCTGAAACTAGTTGGTATGATATAGCACCTTCATGTATTGTGAAAATACTCCTTCACAAGCTGAATTCTAACGTTGGACATGATCAAGATCGAAACAGAGACTATCAGAATGAATATCTTCCTGCATGTTTGGTTCAATATTTGGACTAAAATTCTTACACTAGGCAATACATTTCAAAAAAGTGAAGCCCAATAATACTCCATAACCATTCTCCTATAAGATGCTGTAGAAATACAAACGGTGGTCTGTAAACAAACCACGTAACCTCAATATCGACCTACAAACGAGAAATCGCTTTTTGTCTTTTGACAGATAATAAGTCATATTGGTGGATATCGAAATTAGGCTTGGCAACAAAATTGAAGTATGACACCAAACTGCCCAATAATTCAGTAATTATAATGAAATAATTATTAAATCCTTGTAAAAAGTTTGAATTTCAGATGTTCATGAATTTTTAAATCAGTTTCTTTTTTTAAGGACAACATGAACACTACAGGAAAATCCTTATAGCGCTCTAAGAACGGTGCCTGTGCGAGAGTGGCGATTCACGTTGGATTTGAATCGCTGGAGATTGAATTCATTTCAAAAAACGTTCTCAGGAAGTTCATTTCATCTACAAGCAGTTCTCTAAATGAAAGAGTTCTCAAGCAGTGAAGTTCGAGGTGTACTGAGTTGAACCTGAAAACGATGAGCTGCGACAGTCCGTTGGGTATTTTTGATATGTACCACTCTTGGTGGAATCAAATGTATCAAGTCATTTGAACACTTCCTGTGAAAGTATCTATGAAAGAGAGACAAATCTCGAACCTTTCTTCGATGTTCCAGACTATTAAGGTCGCAAGTGATGTTCAAGTCTTCAATCAGGCGGATGGCTCTTTTCTGGATAGAAATATGGACAATCAAAATATTATTTTTAGGTATACTTTTGCAGATTATGGAGAGTATGATTTCATTATTGTTGGGGGAGGATCGGCTGGTTCAGTATTGGCGAACCGATTATCTGAAATTAACGATTGGAAAGTACTTTTGTTAGAAGCAGGAGGCAACCAGAATAATTTCAGTGATATACCAGCATTCTGTGGTTACGTAACACATTCTCATATGGATTGGGGATACTTCACAACACCAAGGAAAACTTTCTGCCAAGGTATCAAATACAAAATCATTAAATATTAGGTATGTACGGTGTTAATTGCAACATAGTTTCAGTTCAACAGAATTTCTGCGGAGAAATAATAATAATTTTCGATATTTACATTTTACTGAAACCACCCAGACACACACACCACTATTAGACTGAACTAAGTGACATTTGAGGGCCCTTGATGTATTATGTTATCGTTTCTTGGTAGTCTTGGTAGTTTGGTCCAAGTACGCTGAAAAGATAAATAAATAAGTACCATTCTGATCATTCCCATATTGATTTCAATTTGAAAGCCACCGGTAGACAGCTGTTTCAGCCTATTGGACATCGTCAGTATTGGGCAGGCGGTCCTCGATTGAAGACAAAATGTGACCTGCATGTCATCTTGATTTCTTCCAGGTTGGAGCCTTGCTCCCCTATCCTTTAAACTGGTTTTAGTCAGAGAGACGAACTAACCATGAATGTCCTCAGACATCAGTACCCCTACCTGGCTGGGGTGGATGGATGAAGATATTATTCATCTGTTAACGGAGGACATAGGGGCCTCATTCGACAGAGTGTCGGGGCCTTTTATATCGGGAGGGGTCCTCTATAGCGTAATCTATAGCTTTCCTGACTAGACAAAATGTGAAAGACCAATTGAAGAAATTAATAAAAATAACTGCGTAAACGCAAGCGAGACATAAGTGGAACCACCTATTGGTGTGACACCCAAGTCAACTTGCCAAGTTTTTATGTCAGTGTTGGTGGTATGACCAATCAACCGACAACTGAGGTGGCAGAAATTTGGGATGCTAACCTGGAATATCATCGACAAACGAATCCACATTTTTCTAGAAATGATATGAATCCAAAAAGGTTAATGCAGTCAAGCTGCTGGAAAATAATTCCATGAAAATCAAAGGATGAATAAATAAGTACCATATGACTACGACCGCGGGTACCACGGTACTCAAGGTCCTTTACACGTCAACTATACAGCCCCACGCACTTCCCTATCAGAACCTTTTTTCAAAGCTTGTGAAGAAAAAGGGTTGAAACGAATTGATTACAATGGAAAAAATACAGTTGGTGTTTCAAGAATGCAGTTCACCATAAATTTCAATAAACGAGATGATGGTGCTCATGCTTTTCTTGATCCTATAATAGATAAACGATCCAATCTCAAAGTACTATTGAATGCATTTGTCACCAAAATATTACTGAACAACTCGACAGCTAAGGGGGTTGAATTCATGAAGGATTGTAAGAAATATACCGCGAAGGCTAAAATGGAGGTTATTGTATCCAGTGGTTCCATCAATACCCCACAACTTCTTATGCTCTCTGGAATTGGACCGAAGGAGGAGCTGACCAAACACAAGATAGAAGTGAAAAATGACTTGCCAGTGGGAAGGTTCTTGAAAGATCACCCGATGTTCATCAATATGATATTCAGAAGCAACAACATTGCACCAAACAGAACACTCAGAGAGAACTTGAAGCGATATGTCAGTGGAGAAACGCCTTTAACTAATGCATTAGGAGTTGAAAATGTTGCTTTCATCAACACAAAAACTCCTGGAAGAGGACCACCTGATATAGAATTGATAATCACCCCTCCACCGCTAGGTGTACCTGACAAGTCACTGTCCTATTTATTCCTGAATTTAGATGAGTATTTCAGTGAAGTCTACGAAGGTTACAATCCCCTAACAGATTTTTGCATATACATAGTTTTACTTAATCCAAAATCGGTTGGATCAGTTACCCTTCAGTCTAAAATTCCTATTGACTTTCCAGTAATTGATTTGAACTACTTTTCCGACCCTAACAATGAGGATATTGAAACTATGTATCGAGGAATAAAATATGCTTTGAGTTTAATGAATACGAAAGCTTTCAGGGATATCAATGCCACCTTCATCGGTAACCAATTGGGGTGTAGAGATGTGGAAAGAAATGGTTCTGAAAAAGAGTATTGGACCTGTGCTATTAAGCATTTCACATCTACAATTTATCATCCTATGAGTACCACTCGGATGGGGCGTTCCCCTAAAGACTCTGTTGTCAACAGTAAGTGTTTGGTGCATAGAACACAGAACTTGAGAGTTGTGGATGCAGGAGTGATTCCAGATATCATAAGGGGACATCCAAATGCTCCCACTTTCATGATCGCAGAAAAAATATCGGACGACATTAAAAAATACTACGGAAAACTCTAGTGTTCCAAAATGATCCACCCGATTTGGAAGTGATATATGTCTTAAAGGTGTATAGGCTTGACAGATCCTCAAAATTCACACTTCACTTTCTGAAGTAGAGCTCGCTTTCCTGTTACCAGTTTGATGTTATCCATGAGAATAATTACACACTTTTCACGAACAATTTAATTTCTAGACATGTTTCGCTAATACCGTAGCAACAAAGAAATAACATAACAAGCAGCAACCAAAAAAATAAAAAATTGAGATATCAATACAAGCTAAAAATTAAAAAACTAAAAATATTATTAACAAAAAATGAAAATTAAAAGATTCCAAACCAAGTTTTGTCACGACGTTTCGATTGTTAGTATCCACAATCGTCTTCGGGTGATAACTGGATTCATTCCTTCGAGATCTGACTATTTATAGGTCATTAGAGTGCTTTCACCTATCCCCTCTTCCCTCTTTTCGCCTCATTAGTTTTAGCCCGGCAAACGGTCATCTCCAGCTTGAACCATTGAAGCGGAGAGAGGGAAGAGGGGATGGGTGAAAGTACTCGAATGACCTATAAATAATCAGAGATCTCTAAGAAATAAGTCCAGTTATCACCCGAAGACGATTGTGGATACTAACAATCGAAACGTCGTGACATAACTTGGTTTGGAATCTTTCGAAATAAAATTCGAAACATCCTTCTCGTCGAACAATCCCACACAGTAGGATGTGATAAATGCCTGTTGGAAAACTACGTTCTGATTGATATTTCGATGGGAATTAAATTATATTTAACAAGCATTTATGAACCGTTTCCTCACAAACGTTAATCTTGCAGCTGCTGTGCGTTCATATAGCAGCTGGTTCCCACTGAAATTATTCGAGTAGATCATCTACAGATCGGTTTCGGGGTATCACCCTTCGTCAGGGCATAGAAAAATCGTGTGTTTGATTGAGTTCAAGGTACGTCCACTGCATATATGAAACCCTCGTTTGAGATAAAGTTTCGTTAATAGTATCACCTCTATCTTAGGAACAAAAGTCCAAACAAGTCCAGAGCATCCATGTATCAACACTCTAACAGAAGTAACGAAATAAGCCAATTTTTTCAATCATCAGAAAAAGAATACTATTCATGACGCGTTTCATCAACCAAGTGGGAGTCTTCAGATGGTTAATGTCACTATTCATAGCTCTCCTGCACAACTTTGCTATTCCCAGAGTTAAAAAAGTATCTAGAAATCTAGTGTTATGTACTAATTTCAGTTTTTCTGATATCGTAAAACGTCTAGCTATTCGGAAAGCCCCAGGCCCGGACCAAATAACAAACCGGGCTTTGAAAGTCCAACGACCTGAGGTTATAGCAGCTATAACAAACATCATAAATGCTATACTCAGACTGCAGCACTTCCAGAACCGTTCGAGGACGCGACGGTTATCCACATCTCGAAGTCAAAGAAAAGCACCTATCCCCAGATAACGACAGGCCAATCAGCTTAACCCCTCCCTCAAGTAAAGTGGCAGAACGTGCCATTCTGAAAAAATCAGAAGACCAAACCAGCGAACTAGGAATCCTACCAGATGAACAGTTCGGTTTCAGATCAGAACACTCGACAGAGTTGCAAGTTCTGAGGGTAGTAGAGTTTGCGACGGAATGCTTCAACTTCCGCAAAGAATTCAACACCGGAGCGAATTTCTTAGACGTCTCCAAGGTGTTTGATAGAGTTTGGCATGATGGACTTCTGGCCAAAATCGAGTCTTTTCAAGCTGACGGGCGATGCCGCTGCAGAGTGGGACAAGAACTCTCAACCATGCGATTACTGGAAGCAGGGGTCCCACAAGGTGCAGTCCTATGGCCAAACCTCTTCTCGATATACACAGCAGACGTGTTCACGCGGGGGAACAACTTTAACAAGTTGGCGCTCTACGTGGACGACACAGCTCCGCTGGTGAGATTAACAAGCCAAGCGCACGTCACTATATAGTTGCAGCAACAGGCAGATAGATTGGAGGAATGGGCCAACCTGTGGAAGATCAGTATAAACCCTGACAAGAACCAGGCGATACTGTTCACCCGGTGGCGGGCACACCCGACGTAGGAAACGTCATCTTTAACGGATAAGAGATTCTGTGGACCAACGAAGCTAGATACCTGAGAGTCATCCTAGACAAAAGATTAATATTCAGGTCTCACGTATGGCAGAGAATAAGAATGGCGAGATCTGCCCAACAAAACCTATTACCAGTAATAGGTCGAAGAAACAACATGGGATTGAAAGTGAAGCTGCAGATCCAGTCGTTTATGAGTGCATGCGTAAGGGCCGCCGTAAACGCTCCAAGGTATATACCGAATAGGTACATATTCCGGAATCTAGACCTGAACATACACTACGTAGGCACATATATGAGATATATGCAGATATATGAGATATATGCAGATATATGCAGAAGCCGCGTTTGACAGAATTTGAGCACAGGACATCCCAGCGCTAAACGATCTACATAATGCAGGGATGACTCCAAATTCCGAGAGAGAGAAGAGACCAGCATAGAAGGCCAACCAAACAGAACCAACGACCACCTCCGAGAGTCGCTGTCAGGCGGCTCCGGTAATTATAAAAATTTTTCAAACAGATAACAAATGTACCTTCTCAGGTTGAACGAAAAATACTCGACCACGATCTCTTTCTGAAACAATAGTCTCTGGTTAGTTTTTGGGGACCCATGCAAAAATTTAGTTAGGAAAGTCAAGATAAAACAATACAATAGATCTGAAAGTAAAAAAACTTAGAGGCTGACTTTCGACCAAAGAAGGTCAGATGTCAATCTTGCTGAAGTGCCCATCAGTAACTTGAGTACAGCTCCGGAGGAGCTGGGGTGGATGGACGAGATGGAATGTTCTGCACACAGTAACCGTGTTGAAGAGATTTCGACTCAGGGCACTCAACCCGTGAGGGGGCATGGGTGACTATTCACTAAACTACTATTCAGTAACTATTACCAATAGCGGTAGCAGTGTACTATCTCCTCATGAAAATAGTAGTTGTTTGTAGACACAGATGTAGATAGTTGTTATGAATGATTTAATGGACGAAACAAAAACTTCGGTTTCAGATCAGAACACTCGATAGAGTTGCAAGTCCTGAGGGTAGTAGAGTTTGCGACGGAAGGCTTCAACCTCGGCAAAGGATATAACACCGGAGCGAATTTCTTAGACGTCTCCAAGGCGTTTGATAGAGTTTGGCATGATGGACTTCTGGCCAAAATCGAGTCTTTTCAAGCTGACGGGCGATGTCGCTGCAGAGTAGGACAAGAACTCTCAACCATGCGATTAGTGGAAGCAGGGGTCCCACAAGGTGCAGTCTTATGTCCAAACCTCTTCTCGATATACACAGCAGACGTGTTCGAGCGGGGGAACAACTTTAATAAGTTGGCGCTCTACGTGGACGACACAGCCCCGCTGGTGAGATTAACAAGCCAAGCGCACGTCACTAGGTAGTTGCAGCAACAGGCAGATAGATTGGAGGAATGGGCCAACCTGTGGAAGATCAGTATAAACCCTGACAAGAATCAGGCGATACTGTTCACCCGGAGGCGGGCACACCCGACGTAGGAAACGTCATCTTTAACGGACAAGAGATTCTGTGGACCAACGAAGCTAGATTGACTCGAGTCGAACCACCGTATTTTCACAGATCAACTGATACTACAAATTGGTGCTGGAAACTGTTTTGCTCTTCAAGAAACTTTCATCAAATTTCAAATTTCAGAAATTGTTTTTGAGAAAGAAAGGTTATGTCTTTACTTTTTTGGAATTCCTTCTTTCCTTTGGAAGATTCCCATATTTTTTATAACAAGATGGAGAAATGAAATCCAAAACCTTTTTTACCCGAAAATAATGTCTCCTAAAAATATACCCCTTTCAATTTTTTTCCTACAACCGCCTAAGAAAGGAATGTCTATATAGTAGTCCTGAAAACATATGCCAATACACAGGTATATATTATTGAATGTATTACATGGCGTATGTTAGGAAAATTCAACACACATCTTGATATATTATCTGAAATTCAAAACATGCTTTATTTTATAGCAAAATGACAAAAAATTTTTAGTATGTGATCATGTCATGCTTCATATGATACTACTAAGGGTGCTCTATTAGAACTATTCTTTCTGAGTACTATATAAACAATATAAATCTATAGGTATTCATGTTAATTTTGTAATTCAACGCGAAAGTGTCGAAAAAATAAGGGAAAGCAGAGATGGTGATATAACTAGTAAACGTAATGAGTGTTTTTCACTATGCGGTTTCTATGCATGTACAAAATTATAAGCGCGCTCGTGCAATTTTTAGGCAAGCCTGGTGACTTTTTCCGATCATTATCACAACAGCAACATCCTCTAGAATATTTCGTAATCCTTGGCGTAGAATAATAAGAAATCGAAATAAACAACATTTCAACCTGTAGAAACATCAACCTCCTCAATGTTTGCTATATTTCCAAAAGAATGAACTCTGCAAGAAATTTTTTGCACGGCACTAAAGTTGCATTGCATGTTGGAAAGACTATCGTGTGATTTATTAACCTTAGTGAATACTCGTATTATGAGTTTCACTTCCCAAACTCGTTACACTATAAAAATAATGGTTCTATTCCAACACTTAAAATAGATGAAATAATTATTAACCTAAGATATAAAACTACTTTCAAAATGTTTTAGGAATGAAAGATTTCTTTGGGATTAGATCAATCCGACAATTCAGGCATTTCAAAAAGAATAATTGAATAGCGTTTTTTCACAAACAAGATGAAATTGGTAAAAAAAATGTTTATGATGAATGATTTCAAAATATTACCGGAGTTTTATCTCAACAGCAAACCATTATTTTTAACACCTCGATACGTGTTTCAAACACCAAGTGATCTGTTTAATATCTGTTTAAAAATTTGTTCAAAATCTATTTTCCGTTAATCAGCTTCAAGAATGTGATTAAACGGTTTTATTGAGAAAAAAAAGATGAAAATGATGATAATGAACTAGAAACTGAAAAATAATCCAGAATGTTCTAGATAGCAGTCATCACACCATTCTTCTCTGCAATCAAAAGGTATTGATTAGATACACAAATCATAAAATCGTTGGGCGTAGCGTAACCTGAATAAGTATGTAAATACCAACGATTGCATTTTTTATGTGATCAATATCGT